AAAAAAACAACGGAGGTTTGGTGATACATGCCCATAATCCCAGATATTCAGGAGGCCGAGGCAAGAGGACTGAAAGTATGAGCCCAACCTAGGCAATTTATTGAGACCCTGTCTCAAAATAAATGATAAAAAGGGCTGAGTGTAGAGGCTGGGGTCGTGGCTCAGCAATAGAGCACTCGCCTAGCACATGCAGGTGCTGGGTTTGATCCTCGGCACTACATAAAAATAAAGGTATTGTGTTCAACTACAACTAAAAATATTTCTTAAAAGGGGGGTGCTGGGGTTGTGGCTCAGTGGTAGAGCATTTGTCTAGTGTGTCTGAGGCCCTGGCTTCAATACCCAATACTGCAAGCAAAAAATTGGTAGCAGCTTTATTGAGATGTAATTCCCGTACTTTACATCTCACAAGTTTAAAAGTATACTCTTTAGTAGTTTTCAGTATGCTTACAAGTGTGTGCACCCGGCACTGCAGTCAACTTGAGAATATTTTCTAAAGACGAGGCACCTGTGATTTTTAGTATTCACCCTACATTTTCCCCATACCCAGACCCAACAACTGCTAACCACTGATCTACTTTCTGTAGGGGATCCTTTTTTTTTTTTCCCTTGGGGATATACTAGGGATTGAACCCAGGGGTACTCTACCACTGAACTACATCCCAGCCCCTCTTTTTTTTTTTAATTATTTTTTATTTGAGTCAAGTTCCCCCTAAGTTGCCCAGGCTGACTTTGAACTTGTGATTCTTCTGCCTCAGCTCCCAAAGTAGCTGGGATTACAGGTGTGCACCCCTGCAGTGACTGGGAATGTTTTTAATTTTTTTTTCACCACCCAAGAAGCATCATGTTGAGAACTTTTCTTTTTAATGCATGGCACAGGAAGTCCTCTCTAGGAGGATGCTGTGGCCACACAAGCATTGGTGGACGATCAGGCTAGGTGACTTACAAAGATGTCCAACTATTAGAACAGCTACTGTATTTGGCCAGGGCTTGCTTGCTGTGGCTTATTGCCACTAGGTGGTGCTGCTGCTCCACCCCAGTGGCCCCACACAGTCCTGGCTGGGGTGGGCTATGAGGTTTCCAAGTGTGGGGGATTCCATCTGCCTGCCTGTGGTAGGTGTCAGACACCTGGAGTAACCCAGAAAACAGATACAGCCAGGGATGTGTCTGCAAGAGAGAAGTGAAATAGGCACCCAAAGCAGGGACATTTGAGTGCCAGTAACAACAGTAATAAGGCCAGGGTCGGGGGCGGGGGGGGGGGGGCCCACAGCTGTAATCCCAGCAGCTCAGAAGGCTGAGGCAGGAGGATCTGGAGTTCAAGGCCAGCCTCAGCAAAAGTGAGGTGCTAAACAACTCATACCCTGTCTCTAAATAAAATACAAAATAGAGCTGGTGATGTGGTTGGGTGCCCCTAAATTCAATCCCTGGTACCTCCCCACCAAAATAAGGTGGAGATGGCAGCAGGAGCCCCAGCAGCTATGCTACCATCTTAGGCTCAGAGGATATCATATTAGACATTTTACACCCATCTTCTCCTAGGCATTTATTACGTTTATGTTACCAAAAAAAAAAAAAAGTAACCTTAACTTGCTGGAGGCCACGTGGGCATGATTTGAATACAAGCCTGGAGCACCTGCTTGAATACCCACCCCCCACCATGCCAGGGAGCTCCCAAGCCAACTATTCCAGCTGACTCAAATCCTTAGAATGGCAAAATGGAACACCTTATCCTCTGTGTCAGATGAACCTCTTTGCTTTGCCATGGGACATGTCCTTGAGAGCTTGAGGATAGTCGCTGCATCTTATCAAGTCGTTTTTTTCTCTTAGATAAATCCTCAGTGGTTTTCCTTCAACACGGTTTCAAGACTTCCATTGTCCACTGGCTTTGAGTTGTCAGCACTCTTCAAATGCGGGGGCTTGGAAATCTGCAGGTGCCAGCCCGGTACTTGTGGCTAACAGTTTAGATCCCAGAGTAAAGATTTTTGGGTTTAAATCCTTGCTGCACCACAGGCCAGCAGTGTGACCATGTTAATCCCTACTTCTCTGAGCCCTTATGTCTTCTCCCGAGTCATGGGGATTGTGCGAACCCTCATTTTCTGCCATACAACCCTTTCAGGTGGGCTCAGCCTGGCTTGGTGACAGGCAGGCAAGGGAGAACAAACAGCAAGCTGTCACAGTGCTAATAAGCTGGACAGATGACCAGAACCATTAGGAGAAGGGGTTCCTCTCTCAGGGACTTTGGGTCCTTGGTAGAGAGGGTCAGGCCATTGGGAGACATAAACACCCACTGAGATGCCTGACTCAGATGATCAGAAAGTAATTGGCTTATAACTTAGTCTTTCCTTTCTGTTTCTTCCCCAAAACTTATTTTTTCTCTGCCCACCGCCCCCATACTGAGGGTGGAACTCAGGGGCCCTCTACCACTGAGCTGCATCACCAGCCTGGTGTTAAGTAACTGAACAATGTAGAGGAGGAAAAGTTTATTTTGACTCTTGGTTTTAGAGGCCCAGTGTATA